CCATTTTTAAGAGTGACAGTTTACCTTAGAAGGTAGAAAAAACATCTATGGAGATGAGGCCTTTATATGAGATTACAAACCAGGGTGTCATCGCAGCTGACCCCAGGCCCAGATGAAGTGTCAGATTATCAGGATATTACTAACATTAAACTCTTTCAGTCTTGAACAGAGAAAACAATCACATGACCTCAATGGCCACAAACTAGAGGACACAGGTGAAAGCTACTGTATATGGAAGTTAAACCAAGAACAGGAAGGGGTAATTTATTTGCCCTAAGTGGTGGGAAAGTGGAACAAGCTTCTCAACCATGACATTGAGGTCTGTACCCTTCAAAAAACACTTGGATGAAGTCCTTGGAGCAGTAAACTGCAAACTATTAAATGGGCTGGATGGGCCAAATGGCTTCCTTTTGTTTGTCACTGTTCTTATAAATATTCTTATATTTTCACCTTTGTCAGAGTTAAAGCAAGAAGGTAACATGAAACAACACAAAGAGAGGAAGACTGACGAGTTAACCATTAGCTTGTCATTTTTGTAGGCTAGCTGAATGTCCAGTGGACGGTTTGATCATTCTCTTTATTCAAAGAAATCCACTTGCCTGTGGCAAATGCTGCAGCAAGTGATAATCTATCCAGAAAGCACAAAATAATTGCCAGTTAATTGCTGGACACAATTTAGTCACCTTGTCTTTAAAAAGTATAAGGATATAAAAGCCCCTAGAAGAAAGTGACAAGCTCCACTGGTCCAGATTTGGACCCAAGCCCTGGAAGTATACTAAAAATGCCAGCATGCCACCCCATCTTACATAAATAATGCAATTACAAAAAAGAAATATTACCATTAAGAGTAATTGCTATTACTGTTAGCAACACTACATAAAGAAAGCAGATGTCACAGACAGTTCTTTCCGAGCCCTATACAGACAACGCGATCCGGAATTGTGAAGATACACTAGGGAGAAAGTCATGCAAGAAAGGGTCTGGATACAGGGGGGCGTGTCCGAGGTGAGCAGGTGTCCTGGGGAGGTGAGTCCGGGCGAACAAACGAAGCTAAAGTCCAAACGAGGAATCCAAACAGAAGAGTAGAGTCCAAAGCCAGGAGATCCATCCAAGGGTTAAAAGCATGAGCCGGGTCGGAACCGGCGGGGCAGGGAATCAGGAACAGAAGGTTAAACCCATAATGCAGCCAGACGCAGCCAGACGCAGCCAGACGCAGCCAGACGCAGCCAGACGCAGCCAGACGCAGCCAGACCCCCCAAGCTCTCATGAAATGTGATTCAATGAGGAACCAGGAGTGAAGTCCGCGTCTGGCTTTTAAGGGGGAGCGGGAATAGGGAACAGGTGCAAACAATAGGAGAAAACAAGGAAGCGCTGGAGCGCCCTTAAGAGGAGGGGTTAGCGATCGTGACAGCAGACTTGCCTTGTATACGTCTTAACGAGGGATGTATTTTTTATGGTCTTTTTTTCACAGGTTTAATCTTTATCTCTCCCCAGCCAGCAGCACTTCACATCCTGAAACCAGTGCCCTTCACACTGTGCTTCTCCATACTTGCTCTGTTCCTCACTTTGATATGACATAGATCATCATAATCATGTTTTCCTGTGCCTCATGCTGTTTCTCAAAGTCGTGTGTTCTGTGTCTTTTTTCTAACTACTGGCTTCATCACTATAGCCTTGTTGACTGTAAAATGAATCAGTTTTTTCAATGTGTCCATTAACTTTAAGCAGTTCTTGTGCTATTTTAAAGGTGGGGGGTGTCTTTTTCTAATTTAGCAACTTGCATTAAAATATATATTTTAATTGATATTGTATTTTTCTTAAATTCAAAGTTAAGACAAGTCAAAATAATGTTTTAATTCACAAATAGTATTACAGAGTTACTGTAATTTATGTAGTATAACTGCACATAAATAAAATGTGCACAGTATTCAAATGGTTTTATTTCACATAAAGCTTACTGCTTGAAACGATTCATGAATAAAAAATTAGGATAATAGAGTATGTTCTAGTAAGAATACTGTATTCAAACTGTACTTCTATATAAAAAAGAACGTTTTAAAGAATGTTTTAAATCATGATCACTTAACTAACAGATAATGAAAACAGTCTTGATATGATTTAAAAAGTTCCTAAAAGAATTTAGAAATTCTTTAAAAATAACTGGTGGTGCTGAAAGTGAAGGATGCAGAAGACAAAGACAATGCTGGGTATATGTACTGTATTTATGGAATAAAATCAAAAAGGAAATGTGTTAATAGTAAAATATAAACTCTCTGGGATAAGCCACTGGGCATTTCAATGTCTTCAAAATGAAAGATAGAACTCAGATTCTTTGTAAAGAAATGACAACAATTAGAAATATGACTTCTAAAGTAAAAGGAATTAACTCAGACGCCAAAGGGATCAATAGAACAAATTTAAATATTTTAGAATTAGTGCACAAGTGACACATTAGCAATGTAAAAACAGTTGAATGTTCAACTTTTTCAAAGATGCAGATTTGGCAGAAAACAATTTTAAAAATGCTTTAAAATGAGCTGTTTATATTTTTGAAAACAATATTTGATAAACTACTATACATTGTTTTCACAATATTCTTTGTTCCAATGAAAAAAAAACATTTTTTTTTTCAGAAAATAACCAGAGTATGTCTTGAACACAGTGTGTAGACACTTTGAAATATATAATACAACTCAGGCACTCAGTGAAAGTAGATCAAGAGGATTACCTCAAAGCGCAGAGGAATATCTTTTCAAGAAGGCCAAAGAAACCCCCAAACAACATTTAAGGATCTGAAGATTAAGCTAGAAGATTCAGGAATTACTGAATGCGACAGAACAGAGAAAATTAGTTAATAGGCAGTTTCTAGCAGACTTAGCAACAAATAACTATTGAAAAGGACCCAGGACAAAGCTTGAAACTTTCCAAATATTTTTAAAAAGTGCAAACTTTTTGACAAAAGTCTTTGATACAATGAATCCAAATGATTTTTTTTCTACAGAAGATTATAGGATTTTCAGAGGAAAGTTGGTGCAGTCATTTTGCCTCTTCTTAACATTAAGGTAAATCCATAATGCGGCAGTCTTGCTTTATTGAAGCAGGTCATTTTTTGATAATGCATTATGTCCATGTGCATGCTTCATTAAAGATTGGTTAAATTAAAAAATCAAAACAAAAACAATGATTCTTTCCACTAATGGTTTTCATCTGGCACAGTTGAAAGAGAAATTCAAGTAGGAATGGAAATTCCTCTTTTTCTTGATAAAAACGTTTGAAGTTGATCAGAAGAAGTAATTCCAAAAAGGACAACAAAAAAATTATGAAAGGTAAACATGCATATTGTTGTCTTAAAATGCAGGACGTACATGAATTTCTTTGTCCACAAAGGGTGAGGTAACTTGCCACAGTACAGCAAACCCGAAGCATTGGGTTTTGTAAGTTTGAAAGTTTCACACAAGCAAAATAATGATAGTATATATTAAAAGAAACAATCACAATAAATTATCAAACAGAGGTAACTAAGCACAGTGCTGTTAGTTAGAACCTCTGTGTTATAACTGCAGTAACTGGCCTTTGGTGTCTGTAAATGTGTTTGCATGTGGTCTGTGTGTTCACATGGGTTTTTGCTGGGTTCTTTGGTTGCCTCACAGTTAAAAGATTTACAGATTATTTTTAACATCTGGATTGTTCCCCTGGGGTTTATCCACAATTTCTGTTCTATGGTTCCGACTTTTCTTGTACTTTGTAAATTGACAGTTTTATTTTATGATCTTTTGTTTTCATTTTGACTACTAACTATGGATTTAAACACTGAAGCCTAAGTGAAACAGGTTATTAGGATGTTCAAAGCTTTTGTATGTGTACCTTATTACTCAACAGACTGCTAAAAGTGCTTGTTTGGCCAGTGGAAACATATTGCTGAGGAGTATGTGCATTTAGAAAAGAAGAGGAAAGAAACTGGTGCAACTGAAATGAAATGCCTGAGGAAAATGTTGGAAGTGACCGACCTGCCCAGAAAAGCCAGAAAAAAGATTAACCACCAAGTCCAAACCAGGAAAAAAACAGGAAATGAATTATTAGCAGCACTTAAGAAAATAAAGTTTCAGTATTTTCAAAATGTAGTAAAACGAAGCCACATTAGATGTATTACTCAACCACAAATACTTGATCAAAATACATTTGTCAGCCAGTTATCTCGATGCTCTTCCTTCCTTAATATAAAGAGGTTCAACACTGCATATTTGTTTTGGTTGGTCCAAATGACTAAAACTGAAGTTTGTTACAAATATATTGGGAGTTGCATTTATCAGTCGTGTTTGTTCATGATTAATATTGGAATCCACAGCAAAAATCACAGTTCAGTATTTCACAGTCACAATACTTTTGGTGATCTTTCTGTCCTTGACTACCTTAAAATATTTGAGATGGAAATTATTTGGTCATTCATGCATTTATATCGACTGGATTTGTGGTATCTCTTCTGTCACTTATGTTTACTAATTAGAAACAAGATCAGTGAAATCATGTAATACTAAGGAAACATCTTGTAGTTCACTGAAATGATCAAAATCTTATTTGTTACTTCTGGAAATGTAATTTAGTGGTTGGTAATAAGACTTGGAAAAATAATAATTAAATGTGTATGAGATCTTCTCATAGTGATAATTTTTGGAACACTCTCCAATCTAGGAAAATAATGCTTACACTAGCAGAACAATTTATATGGTAATAATTTAATGATTCTGCAAAAACAGACCTTTTTTTGTCTTTTACATTAATAGGGAAGAGATGAATGCATTAAAATAGTATAGAAGTATTTTGGAATGGTGGAATGTAAGCAATTTCAGCTTGGAGCTTTAATTAAAAAAAACCCTTGTCTCTCATGTTGGATATTCTGCTGATGCTGTGTAACTACGCCCTGACGCAAAATGCTGTGTCCATTACCTTGAAAGGGAAAGCAAAATGTTAGGAATAAATATGTTAAATAAATAAACACTGTCTTAGAAAATATTGTGATATTTTATTAAAAATGCTGCTGAAAAGTTTATACACGTGTCCAGCCATAAATATCATCTATCATCACTTAAGGCAAAAAATGCAAACAATATAGAGACAAACAATATAGTTTAATATCCTAGATTAAAACCCTGCCTGCCTTTTCAGGTGAAGGATCTAAGGCCAAGATGGGTACCTTTGTTTGAAATTACAAATGTATTTCTATGATCCTCAGTTCATGTTCTATTGACTTTTTTTAAAGTGGATGCATAATTAAAATAATCTGGGTTCATGATATTTTAACTCATTCACTTGCTTTGTAACCCAAAATATCACAAGCCTGGCACAATACTTTACATATTGCTAGCATATGACGAGTTGAAATATTTAACATATATTTCTTTACAAACATATCCAACTAATACTGATACCAAAATCCACTGCCGTTTTCTAAATCCATTAAGATGCTGGTCACGTCTGAAGCTGAGGCAGTGTTTAGGTTGCTAAAAAAAAGGCTTATAATATAACTAAACTAAGTAGCACATGATGGATTATGTAAAAACATAAGGTTTTAGGCATACTGGTAATATCATTGATACCACATATCATTAAATCAGTTGTTTTTGTGTGCATTATACCTGGTGTTCATTAAAACAGTCCATTTATTCTCCCTCGTAGTTTGAACCTAAAACAGTACAGAATCTTTCCTGAAATGCAGTTGTAAGCAATACTTAAACATGCAACAAGTGTAATCAGAAAGGAAAAGAGGTCATGTAACACTGAAAAAAATATACTGTAGATGATCAGTAGGATATATGTTTTTCCAACAAATGAAAGATATTTGTTTTTTTTTTCCTTTAAAACATTTTTTTCTGAATGAAAAAATGTTAGGAGCAATATATTTACACACATCACAACTGAAAGCACAAGCTCCTTAAAAGCCATATTTAAACTCAAAACAACAATAAAAGCTTCTTTTTTTTACTGACAACTATTTACACGTTTTTTTTATTTTTTACAAATAATCTTAAATACAATTCAGGCTGGCAAATTTTCACTTCTCACAGAACTATACCATTTTACTGCATAGCCCCTTATATATAAATTAAAATCCAATGACTTTCTTTTTCATTTTCTTCTTCATTTTAACACACACTTGTAAGAGAACCCCTTGTTCGTAGTTCTTGGCATACAGTGTATGGCACATACAAAGCTTTAAATGACCATGTCATCACTTGCTACATAAAGAAATATACTTTTATGTAATTTTCCCTTCATCAGTCTTCTGAAGTGAACAACTTTCTTGGTTTTATCTTGCCTCTTGAAGCTCAGTTGGTTCCATTACAAAGCTGAGATCCAAATGCATTGTTTCAATAGTGACATTCACTTTTCACATTTAACAGGTATGTAAAGTTTGTCTCTAATATTATTTTTAGAAGGCGCAGTAACAAAATAATATCTTAACGTCTGTGATGAGTCTCAGTAGGAGTTACTTTTTCTTAAAATAGTTCTGTGGTACGGGTTACTATACCCTTGTGGTGGAATGTCCATGGGGTAAGTTGGTACTGTTTTGCCCGGTACTAAAGGTGTTGAATGTGTGCAAGGGCTGCATCCCAGCTAAAGTGTTTGGAATCATTATGGTATTAGGCGTCATAAGAGGAATGTCATCCGGAGATCTTCTCAGTGTTAGTGTATAGTCAGGTGGGCACGTAAGTCTCAGGGTGTCATGAGCCTGCAGAGGTTCACACTCATGATCGTGCTCCAGCTGCTTCATCTGCAGTGACATCATCTCCTCGTTCTGAATGTGTGCAATGTCGTTGGTGGTGTTCCTTTGGGGACTGGGCCGCCGGTGGGTCTCATGACGCCTCTTGTCTTTTTTGTAGTACAAAGCCGCAAAGGCCAGAATGTTCAGGAAGAGCAAAGACGCCCCAACCGCTATGGTGACGCTTAGCTCTGTAGAGTAATCCCGCTTGTTCTCGATGAGGACCGTGGTTTCCTCTAGGTCGGACTTGTGGGTGTCCGTCCCTTGTTTTGTGTTGGCTGGAGTCATTCCTGGGTGCCTCGTTGTTGAGGGCCAGATCTTTCCAGGAAAACGCTTGGTGTAAGGAAAAGGAGTGGTGTCTTGCGGGGGTACCTTTGTTGTCGTTGAGACATAATTGAATAATTCATTTATGTTATGCAAGTGCGGCACAAGTTCCAACCAAAAAGCAACCTTCGTGGCTCTGTAATGGTCTCTGACCCTGGGTTTCAGGCCGATGTGCAAGTACAGTTGATCCTTCGGATTGTACTTGGACCAGGCTACCTCTTCAAATCGGTTTGGCTTTGTATGGATGAATTTTGTGTCCTGTGGGACAGGCTGGTTTGGGTCACTGAAAAAGAAAAAAAAATCATGTGATTGTGTTATGTCAGGCTGTTTACATAAAAGGAGAAAATTAATCATTTGTATAGTTACCTGACCTAAATAATGAAATGCTGTAATGAGATTTTTTGGTGCATTGTTAAAATGTTTCTGTTGAAATAATAATTCCAAATATTTAGGATCACAAATACAGTAAAATGAAAGGGGAATATCCTGAAATCTATGGCTTATAGGAAGAGTTTTGACATATTAACTAACAAAAGCGGAGTAGCAAAACTAACTAGGGCGGAGCGGTGGCTCTGTAGCTAAGGATCTGCGCCTGTGATTGGAAGGTTGCCGGTTTGAATCCTGCGGCCGGCAGAGGAATCCCACTGTGTTGGGCCCCTGAGCAATGTTCTGACCCCAAGCTTCTCTCCCTGTCTGTGTCTCCATGGAGAAAACCTGGGGTATGTGAAAAGATGAATTCCTAATGCACAAAATTGTATAGGGCTAATAAAGAAACCTTAAAAAAAAGCACTCAACTGTCATAACCAAGAAATGTTCAAATAGAAATATTTCAAGAAGAATAATGACATCCAAGAATCAGATGCTTGGAAAATGTTTATTGAACATTATATTTTAGTATAATACAGTAAGTTTTGGCTTGACTACCTTGGTAACCTTCTGGCCATGGGTGGAGGAAGCTCAACTCCTTATGCAGAGAGAGGAGTTAACCAAGGGGTAGCTGCAAAGTGGTATTGTGAAGGGGGGATGAATTTGAAAATAAATACAAGAAGAGGTGTGTGCAAGAATAATAGAGAAAGTTGGTAATGATTGTGATTAGGAACAGTTGGGTGAGACCAGCTTGTCTGTCTTTATCTGACCTGAACCTCAGTTAAGAACTTCCATTTAAAGGTAATGTTACATGTAAAGAAAGGAAACACTAATTGCATACACTTCACAATACATCCCAATTGAATTAATAAAACATACCTGGGGACTAAAGTTCTCATTGGAAAGTATCACTTTTATGGGGGTAAACTGATCAACTGTACTCTAGTTCCTTGTGAACTAAGAACCAGTTTCACATTTTTTGTTTAAAAAAAAAACAATATCTTCCTCTGAAAATAGAATGATTATTTTCTGATAAAGGTATTATTGAGAAACCTTTTTTATTACAGAGAAGGGAAAATGCTATTACTGTTTATTCATAGCAGGCTGAAATATCATGTAAACCACATTACAGAATAGTTTCATTCTTTCTTCTGTTTTTACTATGTGATCATTGATATCACAATTTAATAGAGTTCTGTTGTTTATAAAGATTTAATATGCTCTTTTTACCTAGAGTTTAATAGTGTAACATTTCACCTTATTACTTCTGATGTCATTAACTAGAAGTGGATAAGCAGGTTGATTAAGAGATGAAGAATGGTGACTCACTTGAAGGGTACTGTAAAAAATTTAGAGGGAAATGAACTTGTGAAATTAACGAACTCAGAGTCTTCATTTTATCAAGCAAAGAGCATTCTGTATTTAATGCAATGGTAAGTATGAAAAAATCTAGATTTTATTCTGCAGACATTTTTTACATACGTGATTGGCAAGTCCAATGTGATTATATTTTTCCATTATTATTATTTTTATTTTTTCCTTAGGTCTCTAGATATCCAATTATGTTAAAAGAAAATGAACAGCACATTTTCTTGATATTGAAAGCAGCAGCTCCTTGGATCATTCCAAAGAATGAGTCCAATAACCTTGTCCTCTGAGTTCTCCCAGCCAAGTGAGTCAATGACAGGTCAGTACCAAACTGCTTTCTCACCTACTCAAACAACACCATAGGGTGTGTCTGAGGCCGCTCATTTTATTTGGGATCATTAGAATTTCATTCCTTTTTTCCTTGTTGTGCACATGGTGTACTCCAGGGGTTGGCAATCCTGGCTCGTCAGGACAGGTGTTTAGTCCTCTCTGTCCGTTAATTTCTTAATTGGTCCTTCCTTGATTAATTGAACTAAGTCCTGAAGATTACTCCAGTAATTAAGGAGCAGCTACACTTGCGATGGAAAGGAAGTGAGGAGACAAGATGCCCTACCCCAGTTATAGAATCCTTCTTTCTATTTTATATGATATGTTTTAAAGTTTATAGAATAAATAAATAAAACCCTCTTTGGAAAAGAAACAATTAATTGGACTGTGTGTGAGACAATTGCCACGGAACTGTAAAACTGTCATTGGTACTTTACACATTACGATATACAGCACAGTATTTATTCTTGCCAGAGTTGCCAACCCCTTGCATATTGCTATGTTATGAGTGTCCACACGAAACAACTCAATTTCTTTTTCAGCATTTATGATCTATAGTCAACATTTAAACGTTTTGTACTTTGATGTGTTAAGGCTCATCATGGTGTTGAGAATACACAATGTGCAAATTCAGGTCTATGATTGATTCACAGATAAATTCATAGATTCACACATAAAATACTGTAGTTTTTAAAAAAAGTACATACACTTTTAGCTGACCTGTGTTATAATCTTATTGTATCTTTCCTCTGACTGTCAAGTTCTTTATATACAGTATATATAAATATTGTGTTCATTCATATGCCTTTCCAATGGAAAATTATAACTATCAAATGATTTAATTATTTTAAATATAGCAAATATTGTTTGTAAATTGCATTCCATATATTTAAAATGCAGGATATAGAACAGAGAGTTTATATATAATAATAGATATAATAGAATATAACAATTGTTTAATACAGAATTCTTTTATTTAAATTTTTCTAGTTATCAGTTCTTGTTGGCATTTAAAAAGCACTAATGGTAGTGAAGAGCAGGAAGGAACAAAAACTATTTAATGTTATGCATACAAGGCCCTAAGAAGACTTTTTTTTATGGTGTGCAAGGCAGTAAAACTGATAAGGAGAACCGGCTGACTCTATACAAGGCAAGGATTGTATTTCAACATCAATCTTTCTTGCTCTTTGAGCTGCAAAATTTAATTCCGTACTTAAAACAAGAAAAAAATATATTGTGCATTTTAACTCTACTTTTAAAATAATGAAGAATTGTAGGCCTTCCCAGCTAGGCGGTTGAGGTGCAAACTACCTCTTTCAAGAGATGGTGGGCACAAATTTGGATTAATTAAGCTACTAAGATACTAAAAATGAGGTGGGTCTCTTCAAATAAATCCTTCTCAGTAGATGACTACAGATGTATAAAAAACGCAATTTAGCACCCAATTTCAATCAAGCTCCAGAACAACTACATTAAGAAGCCAGTGTTATACAAAGTTATATTAGAAATAGAACCAAACTTAAATGCTTGTTATAGTTTTAGCATCGGAAGACCTATTCTTGGGTCTTTGCAAATTAAGCATGGTTTTTCTTATGAGTTGTTGATGTTGTAGATTACACAAATGTTGAACTAGGTATTACAATATATGGAGTTCTGTCAGCTAAAGCTCAAGAATGAAGATCATTTCAGTCTCATTTCCTTCAGGATACAACTTAATATACTGTACATGTTTTTAAACTGAGAACAGGAGGTACTTCTTGAAAAGGTAGACAAAATTTCAGATTCATTTACCTAACAAAACTGCCAACAAAATGAGATGGGCCTAATGATCTCTTCTCATTTGGATCTTTCTTGTGTTGGTAACAGACACAGTAGCTCTGATGCAACACTCACCCATAAAGGGTAGATTTACTGTTGTATAAGGCTTTACTTGAATATTTAAGTACACAATTGGTTTCATAACACATAAATCCATCCATTCATCAGAAAGATGCGTTACTCTATGGCTGTGGCCACCTCTTCTTGCAGCACAGGCCACAAGGAGGACTGAGAACCCTTGACAGGATTGTGATGCATGAAATAAATAAAACTGACATTTGTACATAAAGAAACAATACATTGTAACAGCAGGGTTACTACTTTGTTGGCTGATATTGTCAGGTCTCAGAAGCTAAGCAAGACCGGGCCTGATCAGTACTGGGATCAGATACTCTTAAGGAAACCCAGATTGCTGCTGTAAGCAATGTTGCTGGACTAGTAGGGGGGGCTTTTCAATCTGGACAAGAACTTCTAAGCCAATACCCTACCATGGTGACTGGGGACACTATGCTTTAGGAGCTGCCATTCTCCTGATGAACTGAGCTCCTGACTTTATAATAATTTACTATTCCATGGCACTGTTTGATAGAGTGCACAAAATTGCCTTTTAATTCAGTTGGTAACATAATTTCCCACATCTCTATATGTTCATCTCCTAAATGTAAAACGTTTGGGTTCTTTTGGAATGAAAATTGTTATTTAGCTTCGATTATTTAGATAAAATACACAGGATTTAATTGTTAAAGACATATTGCACATAGTGGTTTCCCACAACGACTGATTCTGTTTCCTTGCTTTGCACATCGTATATGGATACTGAAGCTCACAACATTAAAAGCAAAATATCTTAACTGTTACCCCTGAGTAAGGGTAAATCCCTTTAGCTAAAAAACTAATTATAAGTTACAGAAACAGAATATCCCTTAGATATGCTTAAAATGGTTCATCATCTGTTCTAACAGATTGTAGTTTAATATAATATCAGACAATGACTTCACTGTTTGGCCTCCTGGTTAAAATTAATGAACCCTCAAATTGTTAATCACAAATTGTCTGAAATATGAAGGGTGTTCTTTATTTAGCAGAGACTTATTTGGTATTCAAATTATTGTTATTCTAGGGGAAATATAATTGCAATTCAGCAGAGCAGATGATCACAATTAATTATTTACACTTTAAGCAATGTTTGACACAACAGATTTGACAAGTTTATGGTTTGACAACAAATGCAGTGGTTTGACATTGTAGCTGTGAATTTGCTGCCTTTCAAGGAGAGATGACAAAGTGCAACCTTGAAATATTGTAAATGAGAGATGAGTGAGTAGGAAAAAAAAGGCTTTGATTTGCCTACATACAGATATATCTCAATTGAAACATTGTTAGCTATCAGTTAAGGGAAAAAAGTAAGGTTCTTTGCTTCATGAAAGTGTGGGATGGTAGGAGCTCTGGAAGAATGGGAAGAAAAGGAACTATTATTGCCTAATGCATGGAGTGTGTGGGTGTGAATGTGGGGAGATGGGACTATAGTTTACTTCAAATGCAGGGGATTAATGTGTCATTAGTCACTTCCCTAACAGGTGAGTTGTTCAAAGTTTGAGCCACGGTAAATGTTTGGGGACAGGAAATCTGTCTTAGTCCATACATGGGCATATTTCAGTTGTAATAAACAGACTAGAATTCAAGCTTGAATTCAGTTACTGTTTCTGCTGCACATTTAATCACACATTTACAGTACATTCCATAAAATGTCTCATTTAAATCATTAAACAAAGACTACAATGTGTCAAAAAATAATCACCAAACAAGCAAAATTTCTAGAACCACCTGTACAGGGTTCTACATTATTTAGAACCAAAATGGCAACATCCTCAAACCAATTTCAATTTTGACTAGAACATCTGTGACAGTATTTTCTTTGCGAAAGTAAATTAAATTATTCAAATCTATATGTAAAGAAGCTAATTTTGAATCAGAGGGAACTACAGATTTTGTCAGGACTATTTTATCAATATCTTTTTGCCTGCAGCAAGCCATTGCCAAGGTGCAGTAGACACAAGGTGGCACATAATTAAGACATTGTAACCAATGTGTAGGTAATACAAAACCTTAGACCAACAGAAGACTTTTCCTCTAACAAATGGGAAAGCTCTGGCAGTGTAAGTTAATGATACAAGCCAGACTCAGTGATAGCTAGAGTATAGTGCTCAGAACAACTGCATTTTCTAGTTGAGCCAACTGAAAGCCGTGGTCTGGGATTAGGTGATATCTAAGAAAAATAAAGATCTCAATTGTTTTAAAACTAAGCAAGTCAGTTCCATTGTTTTCTCTTCTCCAAATGCATCTGCCCCTAAGTATTTCAGGATTATATAAATGGAACAGCATCAGCTGCATTAATCTATGGCATTCTTTCCAGCTTACTTCTTTGCTTGTGTGATTACACTGCAACATTAGGGCATTTGAAGCTGATGTTTCAATCATCTGGAAGCAATGAAAACCTCATTTAGGCAATCTCATAAGCTTCAATATGATTTCCACCACTTCATAGCACAAAAAGCAGGTCTTATCAGTAAAGTTAATGATGTGTTCACATCTTCTGAGTCAAGTTGGTTGTTTATTCTCATTCTTTTGAATCAGTTGATGATGGGATCACTTTGGAATGTTTGCTGGGCTTGAAATGACTTTTAAAAAGCATGAACTTGAAGTGATGGATTTTTTTGTCCTGCATCCTTTAAGTGTTTAGGGAGGCATTCACAAAGGAAAAGTACTGCCAATCGGCAAGCTGATAAAGCAGTCAATCTGCACCCTGCTGTGTTCTTATAAACTGGAAAGCAGCCAATCTATGAAAGAGATGCTATAATGGTACTGCTTAAAAAGTTTATGTAATGCATTCCAATTGTTTTTGTAATATTACCAAGGAGCATTTTCAGTTTTAATTTGTGATTTTTGTAATGGTTTGTACTGTGTTATCATTTTTTTATAAGAAAGCAGAATAAAATCTTTGAAGTTTCAGGTGGGTAGCTGTGTCAGCATGCGTAGGCTGCAAAGGACAAGTAATAGGTTTATTCCATGCTGAAAAGAGAAGAAAGAAAACACAACATTTTGGCTGTGGAGATTTCTTTGGGTGTGAGCTCACACCCGAAGAAATCTCCACAGCCAAAATGTTGTGTTTTCTTTCTTCTCTTTTCAGCATGGAATAAACCTATTACTTGTTCCTCTATAATCTTTTAAGATTGCTTTAGCTGCTGCATTGTACATACTTAAATGACTTCAACATTTAACATTCACCATTAATAACCTCTGAATGACAAGCAGAACACACATACTGTAATTGATGGGCACTCTGATTCATGTGTAAGATGTGATTGGGGAAAGTCTCTGACATTTCCTTTTCTCATTGCACACTTCTTGTCTCTAGGCATCCAGCTGTGTTTTAGGGTATACAGAAACTAAATTTATCCGGGTTTAATTTTACTGATTCTAGGACAGGGTGCAAGAAAATAGAATAAATCTACAGGGCATCTAGATAAAACCCATGTACAAAGCAGCAATTTGTCCCCAAGCTTTCCAGTTAAGCGACTTCTATTATGCACACTATTATTTATCAATTACATTACTGCATTCCTAATTTGAACAGACAACTAATTGTTGCAGGCTATTCCAGATACCACCCTGCTTCCACCAGATTTAAAATAAGTCTTTTTTTCTTTTTATTTCCCTTTATTATGTTGAATAATGTGAAATCTGCTGTATTTTTTTTCATGAATTGTTACCTTGCTATGTATTATCAAATATTTTTTACCTTCTGTTTAAAGTAAAAAAAATACAAGAAGGCAAAACGGGTCAATTTTAAATGATGCCCTGGAAAATATCAAAAATACACAGTGAGGCAAAAGACTTTCTTATAGACATATAAAGAAACATAAAACATACAGATTTACGTAAGGCTTAACCAACAACATGGTAAGAGATGACTGTTGGATGACTCCCAGCTGATGTTGTTCAAACATAAAAGGAAGGTATAACAGTAGAATGGCTTAAACTCAGCATTAAACTGTGAACTCTTCAACAATATTTGCCTGCTTCTACTTTTTTTTTCTTTCATCACTTCATCTACCTGAAAGAATCTGATTGCTTAATAGGCACAGGTTAAATAAAAGACCAACCCTCTTAAGTGTTTACGTTAATATGTCATTAAAGCAGTGCAAAAATAAGCAAATTGAATTTTCAACCACATATAACAAACTCAGACAAAAAAATAAACATCCCCTTATCAGGTATTATAAATACATACATTCTACACACTCTAAACACAGTTTGCAATATTTATTGTATATCTTTGTGAATATCTTTGCAGTGCCTCTCAATGCATTGCAGCTTTGCCATATTTGCTTGGAATCTGTATTATATTTCCTGAGGTCAGGTTTAGAAGTTCTATGGGTAAGAATTTTGCTCACAAATATATTTCTCTCCTTTCTGTTTCCTAGTTCAATTTGTAATGTTTAAATTTTAAATATCAGTATGTAGTTTAAGTTTTGAACGTAATGATAATTTATTTTATTGTTATATTAGAAAATGTATGTTTTAATTATAAGATTTATACAGGATCTTGTATTCAACTCCATTTGGCTATCTATTCTCTAATCCTCTATTCTCTAATATGTCAACAGCAGCTTTCCCATTTTTGTAGGGTGGCTCTTGCGTGTTCACATGCAACTAATTTCTTTAAAGATAAGACATCTCAAAAGCTGCTGAGATAAAATTTTCAAAAAATGTGTTTCTCAATCTGATCATGAATATATCTCAAGTATGGTCTGTCATCAACATACACATTATGCATTTGACATGAACATGGTCGATCAAAGGATTTATAGACATAATATAATTTTAGAACCAATAGCATGTGTTATGTCAACAGGCATTTTTAATGCCTGTTGACATAATACATGCTATTAGTTCTAAAATTCTGATTATTTTATAACCTGAAATCATAGATCATCCAAAGTAGTTTAAAAGTATCAAAAATTGCATTTTTTACCTACCCAGTTTTTGCAAAGTTAGTCCAGTATGTCATGACCACTGCGCTCAGCATGACATCATTTTTGGAGAAGTTGCAGTTGAAGAGATCTGTAGGTCCAATCATCGGAATGCCAAACACATATGGTACTTCATCACCATGCGCTGAGTCAGCCCAGCTGGGCTTCATGTCACTCTGGCAGTGATGATAGAAAGCGTAGAAATACGTTGGTGAGCCGTACTGTGCGTGTAGGTCAGCAGTTGCCACGGCAGGTGCCACCCACTGGTGATCGGTGAACAAAGCAACAAGAGTCTTCCTACGTGTTTCGGGATTCTCTTTATCTGCCCAGTCTGTGTACATAAACTTGATCGTCTCCCGCAGAGTGTCTTTCCCTTCCGGATAGCCATACAAATGATCCACAAAGTCAGACACCGCAAAGTCGAAATCGTTTGCTGAGACCCCGTCCTCGCTGTCGACAATGCCGTCGACAAATTTGAATCCTTCCCCTTGGTTCACCCCGAGCATGATGTCGTAGTTCAGGAACTCGCCCTGCTCCATTAAAATCTGAGGGTCGTCCGGTATCACATCCCCATCGATGACGGGCCCAAAAGCTATGTGGTACTTTGCTGGGGTGATGTATTGCTCAATGAGTTCTTTGTAGTTCTTGTTTTGGAGGCATTCAACCAAATCAATGGTATCGAGCATGTTACAGCCCACTTTCTCTGCCAGCATCCTGGTATACTTGGCTGGCTGGTAGTTCACTGCCCAGCTGGACAATGCTGTTCCACTTTGTATTATTGCTTTCTGGAAAAGATCTGAGGGAAGAAATGGACATGTTGGCATTAAAATAGGAAAAATGACAGAGACCAGAGGTATTTGATCTGCTTGGCAGTACTTTGATGTCAATAAATAAAACACAACACAAGCAAGCCACAAATCTGGCATACAAAGTTATGATGGAATTGATTTTTTTTTCTGGCTAAAGAAATCTAAGATGTCCATTTTTTTCATTTTTTATAAGAAAGAAAATGCAGCTTTAAACTAGCTATCCACAATGATAGTACGAAAACTATTGGTTAGTTAACCTTTTTTGCTCTAAGCTTTTTAAAAGATTGACCATATTCAAATTTCATTTTATTTATGAATCCTTGAGCTTGATTATGTTCAAAAGACAATCTTCCTATGGTACTGAAAACTACGTTAGTATCAAATTTTCTTTTTTCAAAGATTGCTTAGTAAAAGCAATATACAAAGACAAACTATTAATAGGATAAAAAGGCAGGAATGCATTACCTTTTTGAAATATACTGACAGATACTGAACACATCAAAAGTCCATTTGGTAAAGATTAAAAGATAATATTTAATGTCAAATGGTAAGCTTTGAAACACTTAAAGATTAACTAAATGCAAAAGGACAGTTTCCATTTTATTTTCAGTATAATCTTGTATAGAGATGGTTACAAATGTTTGTATGCCCTTGAAAGAGGATTCTATTTGCATAGATTTATCTTTACCCTGATTCCTGGAAAGAGTTGTGTCAGTAGTGGTAGTTTAAGATGAATTCTTTTCCCCTGCATTGTAATTTAATGTTAATGAAATTTTAGAAAGTGAATTGATGTCTTATTGGTGGTAAGTGTTTCTCATTTTTAAACTGATGGAACCAGACCAGATTCTCAGGACACTAATGTGTTGATGCCAACAGAGGATAAACAAATCAAGCAATCAAGATTGCACAAGATTAAGTAAGATCATGTGACAGAACACTTGCATCAGAATAGCAACAAAAATTTCACTTCATATTCATTTATTCATGATATTTTGTTAAAACATTTAATTGTGTGTGAGAAGTAAAAAAACAATAACAAAATTTACTTCTTGTTATGATTAGGGTATTACTAGTTATACACTCCTAATGCATAAGAATATTTTAGGATGATTTTATAATAATTGCTTATTAATGAATCTACTGTTTTTTCACAAAATATTGATCTGTTTGGAAAATGTTACGTGCTAGATTATTTTCATCCTCTATTTTTATATTAACATAATACAACGTACCATGATGATTCACTGCTGGTGATTTGACAAGTACTGTATGTGTTTCCAATGTAGGCATACCTGCCTCTAGGCCTAGTTAGTAGCTGACTCAGATGCTATTTTAAATGCACATGCCTCTGAGTTTTGCCCCATATCATTATTCATTTGCAATTACTTATTAAAGTATGTCTGTGATTCTCCAGTAAGAGAAGAAGCAAACACAAAAGTCTCAAACCATGCATATGGAACAGCAAACAAGACCTGTAGGCTACAGTATGTGGGGTTTTTTCATGTTTTAAAATATCCTGATGATATAGAGCATGCCTGACACTTGTGATTTTGACACTTTTTGGTATGTTCCTTTATTGATAGTAGTGAATGGCTTGTTACCACTTCTGATGTTTTCAGACCTATCTTTCTTGAAGAGAAGACCTTCTGTGCTTTCTAATAGCCTTATATTAAATATGAAAATAATTAAATTGTTCCACAGGGTTCGATTTTGAGGCCAATATTAAGTAATACTACATACTACTTCAAATAATGTGGATTTTAATGGATGAATGGTTTAATTTCCATTTTTATGCTCATAATTGCAAGCTCCAACTATCTTCCAGAGGTGAACCATGAGTGTCATTCCAGACTAGTCAGCTTGTCTTGAGATCTAGGTTTGGATACTAGCTAACCTTCTTCTGATTAGTTCTAACAAAACAAAACAAAAATAAAGGTATCAATTAGGTAACAATGTTAATATTTCACTTAAGCGAGCTGTTGGAAATCTAGTGGATTAGATGGATGCATTGATAACATATTTGAATACTTCTGAGTTGTATATAAAACATTTCACTTTCATCATAAAACTGTAGCTAACATTGACTGGTCAACGACAATGTTATTTCATGCTTTTGTTTTGTCCTGAATTCATATATCTGTAGCTCTTTACTCATTGATTTATCTATGCAATTGATTGTGAAATTGGTTTAAAATGTATCATTGCTTTAACTATAAGATTATAAAGTAGACTACAGCACTCCAGTTTCTTATTTTATTACTTTTTCCCTTGCTGGCATAGGAAGCATTACACTGTGTACGAACAAGTAATAGGTTTATTCCATGCTGAAAAAAAGAAGAAAGAAATCACAATGTTTTGGCCGTGGAGCCTTCTGCAGGTGTGAGCCACCTGAAGCTCACACCTGAAGAAGGCTCCATGGCCAAAACGTTGTGTATTCTTTCTTCTTTTTTTCAGCATAGAATAAACCTATTACTCGTTCCTTTGCAGCCTACACATGCTGACGCAGCTGCCCACCTGAACTATTACACTGTGTAGCTCTTTCCATCCCTTACAATATAGAACTACAGTATTAACCCCTATGTGCTTTACGGTTGTCTAAGATTTCTATTTACCAAGTAAGATTATAATAAACTCAAACATCTGGGTACAGATTTTTCTGTAGGTTGTGCACCCTAGAGTTTTATTGGAATTATAATTGTTTCACATATAATATTGTCTTTATAGCCTACAAAATGGGCCATTGTCCCACAAAGTAAAACCAAAACTGAGTTTGAGATAATGAAATAGATCCATAACAAGAATGACTGTAAATTAATTTATAAGTGTGGGAGCACAGCTATTTTAGGTAACATTAGTTATAATCTCTTATCCCTTGGTAATAAATGACTTTAGCAATTAATTTTCCTGATTTTTAAAAAATAAATAAAACAGCCAAAACTGCTTTATTTTAATAAAGTGTTAATGGAAAATTCATAGTGGTGTTAGTATAATATAGAAAATTAAGTCCAAATCTTGATGATCATTAATACATAGCAATTTTAAATCTGTCCTGAATCTTTTTGGTATTTTATTTCAAAATGTCTGGCAAAAACATCAGCCAGTACTTGGAATCTCTCTACGGGGCTTTTAACAGCATGCTTAGACACTGTCCAAAACGACCAGCCTTTCGACGCCTCCTGTAGTAGAAACACCACCACGCACATACAGTTCAAGCAAGCAAAAAAAAAAAGACCAGTGGAATATAAGGACACCAGAATGCTTTCTGTACAACTCAAATATCAAACACAGGTAAGATACCTAGAAAACCTTTCCTTAATTTCCATTTATATCAACAGTGGTTTGGTGCATTTGGTTGTGGTGGGAGTGATATTAAGTTCCCTGTTGGCAATAAAATGATATGACCTTTAGATTCTTGAATGCTATTTAAATTTCAGAGAAAAACAGCAAGAAAGTTAAAAAAGGCAAAACCATTGTCAAATTCCTGCTGTTATCTGCTGTGCCACTTTCCTAGTCACTGATATCAAAAACCAGTGACTGAAACATTATTTCATGGTCCAGTGAAGCAGCATACACATTTTCAGGTGTTATCTCTTGTACAGAATTTGTTTTAATGTATGTTTCAATGAATTGTGACCCCACTTGTTATCTCTAAAAAGACATGGTGCAGCACACCTCCTCACATAACTTTTATGTCCACATAAGGAAACTGCCTTGACTGAAACATAATGGAGTTTTAGAAAGACACTGTTACAAAAAGTTTTCTATCTGTACTCCACTTCGTGGAAAGACAAAGGACACTAAGGAATGTGCTACAGGTAAAAACGTCAGAACCAAGGACAGAAAAAGCAAAGTGTAATTACGTGCAAACTGTGAAAATTAGGATAAAGGTGTTTCAGCAAAGATTTTGATATATAAATATCTACACATGATTCACCTTCTGAGTAGTGGGACAAAGTCAGCAGGCTAACGCAAGAGGCACCTGCGCCAGATCCAAATATTGTAACTCTCTTGGGGTCCCCTTTGAAGGCCTGAATATTTTCTTTGATCCACCTTAAGGCTTGGATTTGGTCCAGTAGTCCGTAGTTTCCTTTAGCAGCTTGGTCTCCTGTGCTCAGGAAACCTGAAAAAAAAAAGAATTTCAAACTATTAAAGTGACCCGAAAGTCAGGTTTATCACTCTGACTACATGAGTCATGAGGGGGTTTATAACACCATAATTCTACCCTATGTAAAGATGTTAAATTTTGGGACAACATGGAACACTCTCGATAAAAGACGGACACCCACCAACATTACCGAAATTAAACCAAATAATTAATATTACATGATGTAAAAAACACACACTTGTATTGATATGGGACCTTGTAAGTCCTGGGATGAAACCTTGTACTGCATATGTATGTGGGTGAGGTACTCGAATGTTTTATGTTCCACTAAGTGTCAAGCAAGTGTAATGTCATATGACATTGCCTATTTCAAACTCTGTATGTGATACTCTCATTCGACAGTACTTCATTAACATTCTGACAAATACTTCTACTTTTTTCTGCTTCATAAGAGCCTGTCATCGACCAGACAATGTTACTGAAACTACAAATACTCCAAATATATTTTTGACAATATTTTTTGGGATGTATATGAAACTAGACTGGAGACTTCTGACATGTTTACCTTTCAAGAGGAAAACATGGAACACTGTACTTTACGACCTTTGAAATTAGCTGTGTGTGACTTTTAGCTAAACCATGAACCCAAGTGAGGTGAAGATTTCTAAGCTCATTTAATCTCAATGAGCTTGAGTGACAAATTACTAGCAAATTTTATTAGGCATTAAATATAAATCCTTGCAATCTGGATCCGGGGGATTTGAAGTAAATTATCCTTTACTTACTGTAAAAAATAGCTTCTGCTTAACACAAAAGGACAGAATGATGCTACAATTCTAACCTGTCAAAAGCTTTAATTGACAGACTTTTATGTTTTGTTAGAAGTGCCTTCCCCAATATAAATATAAAAAAAACTATTACATCAAATAAGAGGCTTGGCAGTGCTGCCTCACAGTTCTTGGGTCCTGGGGAAAACTGGACTGTGGCAACTTCTGTATGGAGATTGCGTGTTCTCACTGTGTTTGTGTGAGTTTTCTCCAGGTCCACTAGCATTCTCCCAGGATCTAAAGACATGCTGGGTAGGTTAAGTGTCTATTGTTATTATAGGTGGGTAGCTGCGTCAGCATGCGTAGGCTGCAAAGGAACAAGTAATAGGTTTATTCCATGCTGAAACAAAGAAGAAAGAGAACACAACATTTCGGCCGTGGAGCCTTCTTCAGGTGTCATTGTTATTGTTATTATATGTGTGCATAGTGCACTCTGGCCTTTGGTCTTACAGTACAGTAGTTTAATGTAACAAAGAGTAACATATTAGTTTATATTTCTCATTGATTTAAGTACAGAAACGTAAGAACAGTTATAATCAAAAAGAGGCCGTTCAGCTCATTTAGCCTGTTTGGTAGTAGCTAATCTCTCCCAGGATTTCATCCAGCTGTTTCTTGAGTATTAGCTTTAATAACATAGCTTCTTCCAGACTACCACAACTCTTGGGGTTTGAAATGCACTTCCACATTGTTTCCACTTGTGTCCACTGGTTCCTATTTTACTGCTCATTCTGAAGAAGTTTGCTGGGTTGACGTTGTCAGTACCATTGGGGATTTTGGATACTTGAATCGGGACGTTATGGTCTTACTCGCAGTCTTCTCTATTCAAGACTAAAAAGGTTCAGTTTCTTCAGCCTGTCAGTGTAAGACATTTAAGTCCTATAATGCATGTTGGTTCTCCTGACACATTCTAGGGCAGCAATATCTTTTCTACAGTATATAGTGGTTACCAAAATTGTATACAGAATTCTAAATTAGGGCTTACTAGCGTACTACACAAATTTAAAATACTGTCCCTCAATTTAAATTCTACACTTTTAACTATATATCCCAACATTGTGTTTATCTTTTTATTTGCTCCCACACTGCCTAGAAGATGTACTGTAAATGATGTGTCAACATAATCACCTAAGTCTTTTTCATAAGTGGGATAGTTTTTACTATTTCAAAGAGACATTGATTATTTAAAAGAACCATGGTCCATTTTTTAAAAGAAATGGCTGTCAAACATGACTTCTTCCTTGTTATCATCAAGCCAGTAATTTACATCTGAGGCAACATTCTTTAATGTGCTTGTAAAGTGCTTTTTCAAAGACTCAGCGTGATACTTTAGTCTTTCTGAAGTGCTTATTAATGCCCAGCACAACATCATTCACACTCCTGGGCTCTAATCAAACACATCAGGAAATGGTCTTGGGTGGATAAATATTTAGAGTTGCTGCAAAGAAGTGAAGAAATGTATGGAATTTATTTAGAATTTGAATTTGTATGAGAACTGTGTGCTCATCCAAGCAACAGGCATGCCTTGGATTGTGGAGAGCAGCACTGCCACTAGGGTTGGCTTATGAAGAAACTGGCAGAGGTGCCAAAGACAAAGCAGATGAAGAAGAACAAGTCCCTGGGCTCTTGTAGGCAACATATCCTGTTTGTCATGGAGGGATAGAAGTGAAATGCAGACAGCTGGTCAGGAGATTACCAGCCTGCTCTCAGCAGTGCAGCACTGGCAGTGAAGGGTGAGCCTTAACAGCAGACTGCAGCTCCCTGCTTCTTTTACGGAGACGACACTGTGTCCACATGCACTAGTGTGTCACTGTGCAGAAAGCAGAGCTGTGTACACAGAAATGCTTTATGAAAGAGGGATTCTCTGGTGTAGTGACAGAAATGGATTATAAAGCAGAGAGTAAATTTCACACATTCATTTTGTTGTAGAAGTATATATATTTTTTGTTTAAACAAAATGTTTTCTTTTCTTCATTTGCATTCAGTGGCTTCTGGACTCATCATCACTTTGTAATACCCTCTAGACCAGTGGTTCTCAAACTTTTTGGACCAAGTACCACCCCTTATCCAACCAAAGTATCCAAGTACCACCTACAAGTCATCATCTCATAGGAACCCCAGAAATTCTCAATGACCAACACACACTCACACATACATATAATAAATATTATAATAAACTTTGTTTGATATATTAAAATGTGGCTTCTCAAAGTGTTTTACAGAAAAAAAAAACAACACAAAGAAATAAAAAAGCACCATTTCAGTGAGAGGGGTGAGCCTGTTTAGTCGAGCAAAGCAGATGTGAATTAATTTTTCGGGCCTTGATACAATTCACAACAGTCTAACAGATTTTAAATCGTCAGGCATTTTCTTGACAGCAAAGGTCTCACGGTGGATGTTGCAATGAAACCATTAATTTCTGGAGCAACCTCTCTAATTCATGCAACTACACCGCTGTGTCGGCTTGTCAATGCTCTAGCACCGTCTGTACAAACTCCGACACATTTTATCCAGTCAATGCCATTCTCTTCAATAAATTCATTCAGAAGTTGAAATACGTGCTCTCCTGTAGTTCCTGTTGGTGGCGGCTTACAGAACAGAAAGTCCTCACGGGACGTACCCTCAAACTCGTATCTTACGTAAATGAGCAAATTGGCCAAATTGACTACAGACTCATCTAATTGCAGTGTAAAAACATATGCTCATCTTAATGCGCTCTGTCAGCATACTTTTGATATAATCCTTCATTTCAATAATTCTATGAATGACTGTGTCTTTCGGGGGGGGGGCAGCAGGTCGAGCTGTTGAGCAGCTTTTTCTCCACACATAATAGTGTGGGTCTTACCTGCTTTAGCAATCCGCAAGCTTGCATTTTTCCACGTTTCCGTTTTTATTTCAGTGTTTATTTTAAGTATTTATTTCATGCGCATGGGAGAGAAACACAGAGACGCTCTGTGTATTTTTCTCAAATTAACTTAGAACAGTTCTTAAATATTTTTCTGTTATTTTTCACGCTTTCCTGTGCTCACAAGATTACCAGCGTTCGTAGCACGCATTTCTATGCATTCCTGTGTTTACAATGTTGGCATTGTTCCAAAATCACGCACATTCTCCTTTCTCCCTGTTTGCTGGAGATACAGTAGCTTTTTTTAAATACAATTGGTCACTTGTGTCCGTAGCACGCATTCCTATAGAGTGGTATAGAATTACAGAGTATCTCTTGTGTCCACTGAAGTATTAGCGGGCACTGTATCGTAGTACGTAGGCTACGTATATTCGACACGTATAAAAATACAAAATATGAAAACCCGTCCCGATTTTTTCAGCGCACGCAACACAGTTCCAGGGTCATTTGGCATACCACCTGGTGGCACGCCACGTACCACTGCCGGTACGCGTACCACAGTTTGAGAACCACTGCTCTAGAGTATCCCAGACACACAGGGCATAAAGCATACGAGACAGAATGCCAGTCCATAGCAGGGTACAGATACAAGCACAGTAGCAAGAAACCAGTAAAACTAGCAACTACTGTACATCTTTTGATGCACCAAGATAAAAAAACCTGCAGGAACAAGGTGAACATACAGATGTGCTGAGAGACAGGTGTGCTAACCATCATTTGCACCATTAAGATTTATTATGATGGATGAATACACCCATCATACAACATTACACTGTACAACAGGCCAAATGTTAAGATAATAAAAAATAGAAAAAAAGCAGTGCTTTCCTTGCTTGTAAATAATACATGGAAAAATGCAGGGTGTCAAAAACAAAATAAACCCACAATAATTTCACAGAGACACTGTTTAATACCTGCCAGAAAAAAATAATATAATCCAAAGCTGTGAGACTCTCCAGAAATTCGATTTATTTATGTGAAATCTGAGCCGTATAACCCTTGTGCCACTGAATATTTGAAGCATTGGAAAGGTTTGAATGATGAAAATATTTGGAATTGGAAAATGCTGACATTAGACTTGATACCAGTGTTACCTTGGGGACTCCAGTGCTATAACAGCATATTTGCAGTGTCTTTTCAATTTGGTTTGTAGTGGCATCATTCATTCATTTTTATTTGTTGTGATATCATTTTGATATATTGTAAATAAAATACAATTAGAATAAATGCATTTGTTTTGTTTGCATCTTTAGGAAACAGATATTTAAAAAATAACTACATATTTT